CTCGACCTGCCGGGCTCCGGCGATCCTTCCGCCGCAGCCTTCCGAGTAGCCGGAACTACAGGCGCGCGCCACCACGCCCGGCTGATTTTTTGATTGATTGTAGAGATGAGGTCTCGCTGCCCAGGCGGGTCTCGAACCCGCGGGCTCAGGCCATCCACTCACCTCAGCCTCCCAGAGGCGCGGGATTACAGGCTGAGCCACCGAGCCCGGCTGGCTAGGACTTCTTGATGGAGCCTTTCCGTATGGAGGCAGGCCCGGACCTGTGTCTACAAACATCACGCTTTCCTTGAACACCCAACTGAGGCTGGATTTTTTGTCCCCTTCTCCCACCAGGTAAACTGGTGTGTGTGAAAGACAAGGAACGTGTCACACTCGTGAATCACCACCGGTCCAACTTCTCCAGCTCTGCTGCTCCGTGCGTTATGGCCAAGCCCTGTCTGTCTCTGCTTGTCCACCTCTCCTTCCCCTTGCCTTCGGTGCGTCTGTGGGGCCCCCACCCCGCCTGCCTGCTCCCTGTCTTCTTCCCTTCTCTCCCCCTTTGTCTCTTCTGTGCACTCGCCGCTCTCTGGCTCTCCCTTCCCGCCTCTCTCCTGCCCATCCTTTCCGTGTCTGCTCTCCTTGCCTCTCGCCCCGGCCTCCTCCCCTCAGCGCGGCTGATGAAAGACCCCTGGTCTGTGCTGAAGCCTGGGGCCCCGAAAACCGGAAACCAGGAGCCCTCATCCTGCTGACCCGGTGCGGGCGAAGTTGGCCCAGTATCTCATCACTCTCTGGGCAAAGAGTCTCTCCTCGGCGGTGTAGTTCAGCGAGGGGTCCAGGGGGAGCCCAAAGGTGAACTCGATCTCGTAGCCGTGGGGCACCCCCATCCACAGGGGCCAGGGGATCGTGGAGGCACGGTGCTCAAAGACGTAGGCGTAGACTCGGGCGCCCTGGGCGGCCAGTCGCCCAGCCAGCTGGGCCACGGGGCACACGACGTTGTGGTCGCCCACCACGTTGCTCAGGGCCTCCCGCAGGCGCGCTGGGTCCTCGGGATGGAGCCAGTCTGTGTAATGCAGGACCACAGCCTCGGCTGCCAGGTCACTTACCTGGGGGACCCCGACCCGCACCCCGGCCAGGAACTGGGCCCGGCTGATGAGAGACTCGTTGTCTTTGCTGAAGCCTGGGGCCCCGTAAACCAGAAAATAGGAGCCCTCATCTCTCACCACACCCACCAGCACCTGGGGGGGGCGTGGAATGGAGGCACGGGCACAGACAGACAGGCAGACAGAAACAGAGGGACAGACAGAGAGCCAGAGAGATGAACAGTTACAGACCCAGAACCACGGAGGAAGAGAGTATGGAGCTGGGCGAGGGATGGAGAGAGAGAGAACACGTTCCCACGGCTCCTCCTTCTCGTGTGTCCCGCTCACCCCCCGGGTCGGAACCCTCAGGGACAGGAAGTGGCCGTGAGACCCGGAAGCCTGAACCCCCGGGAGTGGGTCTGGAAGAGCCCCCGTGCCTGGGTCGCCGGGGGCTGGGGCGGGGCCCTTGGGACCCGGAGGAGCCAGTTCCGCCCCACCAGCCACCAGTCACCTGCAAGCCGTGGAAGTCTCCGGCGCTGATGAGGGCCTCAGGCGTGTCGCTGAGGAAGTCTCCGTCCACCACAGGCACGAAGGAGAACCGGAAGACGCTCTCCTGAGGCAGCACGTGCCACTCGTGGTCTACCAGGTCTCGTGCTGGTCGTGCCCGAAGGCAGGCCACCAGCTCTGTGTCGTTGCCACCGGCGCCCCCCGGGGGACAGCCCACGAGGCGGGCCAACAACGTGGCCCGGCGGCGGGCCTCTCCCACGCCCACGGTGGCCCAGGGCCCGTTGGGTGTGCCGCTCTGCAGCACAGCCCTGTGGAAGAGGCCCCGGCTAGGCGGGGACAGCAGGTGCATGCCCACGGAGGCGGCCCCGGCGCTCTCCCCAAACAGAGTCACTGACGCAGGGTCCCCGCCGAAGGCAGCCACGTTCTCCTGCACCCACTGCAGTGCCAGCCTCTGATCCAGCAGGCCCACGTTGCCCGGGGCCTCCTGGCTGCCCGGCAGGGCCAGGAAGCCGAAGGCTCCCACGCGGTAGTTCATGGACACCAGCACAGTCCCCTCAGCCTGGACCAGGAAGCGGCCGTCATACACGTCCAGGGAGGAGGCCCCGCTGTAGAAGCCACCCCCATAGATCCAGACGAGGACGGGGGCGGGGGCCGCAGGCCGGGGGTGTGGTGTCCACACGTTGAGGTAGAGGCAGTCCTCGCTCAGCTCCCGGTTGGGGTTCCACATCTCGGTGCCCTTAAAACCCGGGTACAGGGTGTCCACGTATTGGTAGCAGACACTCTGGAAGGCAGTCGCGTCCAGCACCCCCGGCCAGGGCTGCTTGGGCTCCGGTGGCAGAAAGCGACGCGGTCCCATGGGTGGCTCCGCGTAGGGAATGCCCAGAAAAGCAGAGACGAGGCCCCCAGGGGCTTTCAGGCGGGCTCCCCGCAGCCGGCCCCCACGCACGGTCACCAGCGGCGCCCCGTCCCCCCCGCCCCCC